CTAATCAATAGATTTCAAAGGTGGCCGGACAGGTGTAGGTCGTTGCACGTCATGATCCCCATGAGCTTGAGTAATATTAACATTTTTCTGGACCTGATGAGGCGGTAGTGAAGCAGTAGAAGTATTTCCACCTGTATTATCGGTGATAGGTTCTAGAGCAGGTGGGGTCTGAAGAAACTCCCACAGGACGGGGTAGCTACAACTGGGGACTGAATAGTTGTTATATTACCTGCGGGGATAGTGACGTCGTCCGGGGTATCCTTCTTATGATCAATAGTGTCAAAAACTTGGAGCTGATCAGCGGGAGAGGGAATCACTCTAGCAGAGCAATTTGTTTTTTTGGTCTGAGTTAGGGGTATAGGTGACATTGAGAACTGGAGTGTCTGAACATACTACAGTTCGAACAATACACGGAAAATGTTCAATCTCTACATTCTGCCAATATCCATGGTATTGTGTGCCCAACCATATTTTCTTAGAAGCGGGTGAAGTGATGCTCGGTTAATTTTCAGTTATAACTGGTGAAGTGATGCCTCTTTCAATAAGTACTCTGGCTTCAGAAGGACGTGAAAGATTAAAAGTAGGAATGTCCGTCTTGTGTCTTTTCATAAGCTAAGACAATAGAGTACAATACTTTTTGAGAAAAAATAATGAAATTTCAGACCAGGGAGACGAATCCAAACCAGAATGATTGGTTGTTCCGTCTGTGGGTCAAATTCCACAAACCATTTCAGAATCTTCATTGTTCTGTTATCAATCCATTTTATCCTTCTAGCAAATAAGCACATGTAATCTTCTTCATTACTAATTTGAATAATAATATCTCTCATTTGATAGTCCAATTTTTCATTTTTCAACAAGGTGCATAAGTTCAAATTCTTTGCGAATGAGCTCAATTTTGGGATGACCATATAAAAATTTCTCAACCAAATTCAGACGACAGGAGGAAGCAAGTTGAATACTTTCAGCTTCTGTAAAAAAAATGACAGACTTCCAATTCTTCTTACCAGGTTTCTTGATGTTCTCCGCCCACTCAAACGAAGGAAGAAAAGATGCGATTTTGGTGTGCCTGAGGCGTGGACACCCACAAGGGTAGCTGCATACGATTTGTCCGAAGCCATCCTCAAAGGTAGGTGCGACGTTTAGAGAAGAAAGCAGCTCTGATAAACGAGGGAAAAAATTGCGTCGAAATAGTTGAAGCTAAAAAAGAGAGGACGCTGTGAGACAAGATAAGCTAAGAGAAGCCGCAAAAATCACGAGCTGTACCCGCGAGACGGAGCCGCAGACAAGCGAACGGTAACCGCGAAATGGGTCGCAGAGGAGCTGCAGAGCCTGGAAGTTCCGAGCAAGGAAAGCTCGCGAGACATGAAGACGAGAGACGAGCCTCGTCTCAGAGTCGGAGAAGAAGCGGTGGAGACGAACGGAATCGAGCGCGAAGACGCCAGAGAGGAATTAGCGAAGCCGTAACTGTTGCTAAGGTTCGCCATCGGGCGAAACCCTAGCAGAGCCAAGCGGGAAGGAAGATGACGCCATATCGGTAAAAATAATGAGTTTATGTATATACACACACACACATACAGTACATTTTAAAACTTAATATTAAGATGATATAAATAAATATTATTTTTAATTTTTTAATTATTTCAAGCCAACACTAGCTGAACACGAATGAACAAACTTTTTTTTGTGTTCGACTCGTTTATAAATCGAGCTAAAAAAAATATTCGTATTCGGTTCGCTTGCTTAACAAACGAATCAAAGACGAGCTATTTAATTAACCGAGCACCAGTTATTCGTGAACGACGAGCTTTTTTGACAGCCCTATTAGTAGGTTTAACATTGAAAATGGATTTGTTAGGGGTGGGTTTGGTTGGCTTGTTTATGGGTTTCATGGTGAGAAGCATAATGGTTTTATTTTTATGCTTGAAGATTTAGATGTTTCTTTCTTCATACTAAATGATGTTTATATCATATAATTAGGACCAACTTAATAGAATATGGTTTATATCCATTGTCAAGATATAACGCAAGATGCTATTTAAAAGAACTAGGAATTTATAAGTCACAGGAAGGGAGGCAGAGTATACCCAACTAACATAAATAGTTTGGGATGTGGTTCAACCTTCATATTTGCTTTGGTTATGGTATGGGTACAAATGATATTTACGACACTCTTCGTTTACAACTATCATATGCCTTTTTTCTTTGCACTTCCCAATTATACATCACAAAAATACTAAAGATAATTTTTCTTATCTACTCATTCAATTTTAGCTTTAACTAACCCCTGGCGACTCTTTAGTGCTTTCTAACTTTGTCCATGGTCTTTATTAGAAAGAAGCTGAAGTCAATAGGTTCATTCCTTTCCAAGAGCATTAGTTGGGTTTTACATTCGTATTTTTTATGCCCCTTATTATGGTTATTATGACAAATAATATCTTTTATATTTATGTTGCTATTTTTGTGGTGAACTTATTAATGAATGGTTAGGAGCAGGTCTTGAAGTAACAGATGTGGGTGAGTATATTCTCAAAATGGTTGAAAAACTTCTATGTTTTTCCATTTAGTAATGTGAAAAGTGTTTCTAAGATTTGAGGGGCATGACCGAACATCATTTCTTATTCCTGATTTTTGTCCATTGACAAATATATTGGCAGCTTTCTATCATTTTCAAGGCAGTGGGTTCTAGTAATCAGGTTTTTGGAAGGGTTGAAATAGTCACTCACTAACATGCTACCTTGCCTCAGGTTGTGGAGTTGTCTGTGGAGATTTATGCCATTGTGTCGTGGCAGTGTTTATTTATAAGCATTTCTTTCCTTTTCTTCCACTGACAGACTTTTCTACCATTTTTTCTTTCTTTCATTTTCTCCTTTTTTGGTACTCTTTCTCCTATCAAAGGTTAACTGGTGGAAGTCTAATATATTTTTGGCTAAAATTTATGAAAATGGATAGCTAGATTTTCTTTCATTAGAAAATTATGCCGAAATCTAAATCGTGTATTTAGAGTTCTAGCAAACTAAGGTGGTGATTTTACGTCAGTCGGATATGTGCTTAGGAAGTTATGAATGAACTTTGTGAACTGGCTATAGGAGTTGTATTTTGGTGATGAAATGTGGCTCAGTTTTGAAGGGGTTGAGTGGGGTTTGAGGTATTGGCTAAATGGTAGGATTGTAGGAGAACAAGTATATAAATAGAGAGAGGTACTTTGAGATTCTCAGACATCAACTTTGGATGATTTTATAAATCATTCCAAATGTTGGCAGCACACTAATATCTTGTAGATAAATTTTGTAAGAGATCAAAAGTATTTTTCATTGAATCAATTGTGGTATAATTAGTACATAAAATGTTATAGAAAGGGAGGAAAACTCATATGAAAATACATCAAAATCCCTCCTGGAAAAGATTTCCTTGGGCAGTAATGGCAGTCACTTAAGATCTCTTCCTATTTCAAAATAAACAATGCCACTCAAATTTAAATGATTCAATTAAATATTTCATTACTTCTCTTGAGTTCTTAATTAATTGATATGACTCCAAAAGAAGAGTTTTTAAGTTTTAAAATATTCCTTAAAAATACTTTACGGCGCAGTTCTTATATTTTTAACATGAAAAAAAATAAAAAAAGTGAAAAACAATGGTTATTATCATTTTTTTTATATATGGATTTGGTAATGGGTCTGATAGTTTGTCCTGCTTCACTTATGCATCATTTTGCATTGTCAAACTTTCTGCTGGAATCACTTGACAATTTTCACCTAAATATTTGTTTTTTGTCAGTAAAAAGACATGTATTTTTGATTTGGTAGCTTTATTTTGAATGGAATGAAGTTTATTTCTCATTTTTTAAGTATGAGCTCTTTTTAACAAAATCAAACACTACCGCAAAAAGTCATTATTTATCCCATATTTTACCTACGACGAATTCTCTCACAGTTTTATATTATTAGAACCTCTATCTTGATTTAAGTCACCACTCATTATTATACCCCATTTTTTTTGATATACTCCAATTTAGTTTCTTTTCTACTCTTTCCAGAGTTAAATTCTTATATTATTTTCCCATACCATATCAGGTGTAAACATTAACCACAATCATATGTACCTCAATAATTTTAGCTTTCAATCTTTTGTCCATTGCTAATCTTATCCCTTTCTTAGTAATCTCTCCAACATACAATAATTTATAACCCTAATTTCTTGAGACTTTCCCCTCTTCATTTAGTATAATGTAAAAATATATTATTATTATTATTTTTCTAGTTATGATGCTCATCATTTTTCTTTGCTCCTCTTTCAAATTACTTAGTTTTATGTTGCAAATTTAATTTAAGTATCTATTTAATCAACATTGCCCACTTCTTACCATAGTTGGGTTTTAGCAGTGGTATGCCATTTGAGGTAATGTCCATGCCAACACTTATTTTTTATTTCTATAATCAAATTAATTGTGACATCACTTATGAGGGACTTCTTAACCACTTGCCAATGGATGTGCTATCATTAACATCAAAATTTGATTAGTCCAATGCTTGGAAATTTAATTGCTACCTGACAAATTTTGTTAAAAAAGTGAAATTTATTTCGCACTTTATCAATTAGAACAGGCAGAAAATGTATGTTAAGTCATGTGGCAAGTAGTTTGAATTTAATAAAGGTGATGTAATCCCTCTAACGGATGGTAGAGAAGAATTTGGGGTGTGAGCAGAATGTCAGAATTTCCTGAGAATTAGGGCTATTAATTTTAAAATCTTATTTTTATTGAGTAAAAATTTCATAGACGGTTCAATATTCCTCAAATGTTGGGGCATTCTTTGTAGAAATTAATGAAGCTGTTATATAATGTTTTTTAAATTTTTTATATTTTTTACAATTATATGTTCCAAGCCCATTTTCAAACTCGTTCTTCCTGTTATACTAACTATATTTGGTTTTTAAATTTTTTTTTTGTTGATTTCGAATGATCTCTAGTAATCAAACTCTTTTGATTTTCCTTGCAGAAAAGGGAGATATTTCAGGATTTAGCTCCTTTATTATGGAACTCTTTTGGTACTATTGCAGCACTCCTGCAGGTGTGCCTTCTTCGGTCAAATTCTTAAATAAAATAAAAGAAAAATTATTTTAACATCAACATTTCAAAATAGATTTAACATTAGGCATAATGCAGGAAATTTTTTTTAGAAAGTTAAAAAAACTGAATTTTTTTTTTCAATTAAAAAACTGAAATTTTTGGAAGTTGAATATATTTTTAATATTGTTTTAGAATTTTTATTCCTTTTTTAGTGCATGATTCTTGATTGAGGGCCTGTTTGGGGCAGCTGTTGATTATTTATAAGAAGAAATATAATTACAATTACAAGTAAAAAAATTAAAACGTTCAATTTAAAACTTTGATGTTGTCTGTCCTCAACGACACTGTCCTCTTGAGAAACCATCGTACCACGATCACTGTCGGCATGTGAGTATGTCGGAATGTCGGCTCAACGGAAGAAACCGCTTCTTACTGAAACACCCATCTGACAACTGTAGAACTGTCTCCCACTGCTATGAGGCTGGCATGAGGTAAGGGAGCCGATAGTCCGCAGTAACACAACACAACTCGGGAGGTCCCTGAAATCCTGGAGCTCATGCTGCCACTGAGATAAAACAACCAGAAAAGATAATTTGTTAGATCATAAAATTAAATTAAGCTTTATATATGAGAACCGAAATAAAAGAAAATCGCTTTGATCGAAATACGCAATTAAAACAAAAGTGAGTGTGCGGTCCAGACTAGTAACTACTCCAACCCACGTGTCTGTCACTGAATGGAGATAGTTGACCTCGCACACCCACACAAAAAAGAAAAAAAGAAAAGAAAAAATAAACAAAACAAAATAAATAATTTAAAACAAAATGCAAATTCATATTACAACGAATTACATCACAAATGAAATATACGAAATTCTTAATAAAGCCATAAAATACAAATCCATACTACAATGAATTACATCCCAAATGAACATATAATAAATAAAGAAGCGAGACTGAATCAAAATCGGATATAGCATCTGTGATAGACTCCCTTAAAGCAGCTATTTTGGCTACACCTTCACTGTCCTGACTTTCAAATTCAATCGAATCGATCTCATCCTCAGGTAATGATTGACCAGTGAGAGAGTCTGAAGGTATTTGTGAGTCAATAAGTTGATCGTCATCAGCCAAAGTGAAGTCCGTATCTGATTGAGAGGGATGTCGTCGGATGAAGTTGTGAAGTGTCATAGTGGCCACCGGCCACCATAATATGCACCTGTTTGGGAAATGTATACGACGACATATCACGTAGGATAACCCATTTCTTCTTCCACCTCCTAAATGTTCTTTCAATTACCCCGCGAAAAGAGGAGTGTCGTTTGTTAAACATTTCTTTTCTACCACAAATCGTGCCACTTGCTCGCTCAAAATCAAGAATATGGTATCTGGTGTCCCGATAGGGCTTCAAGTAGCCCCTCAACATCGAATATCCGACATCAACCAAATAATATTTTCTTGTTTTGAAAGACAATATTAATGAAAAATAATACATGTAATTTATAGGTTTAAGTGAGATGAACAAACCTGGAGGTGGGTGAGTGAAACACTGTTCTATTCCTAGTTGCATAGGAAAAACGATGACTGTCATTTGCACTCCTTTTTCATCCCGCTATTACAAATGTGAAGCACATGTTGAAGTCATCATCCCGCAATTACAAATGTGAAGCACATGTTGAAGTCACACACCACCATGACATTTGGGTAGTTGTATCACTCCGACCTATGTACGCGATCTTTTCGTGACTTGATATTCGAGCATCTACATGCGTACTATCGATTACTCCAATGCAGTTCTATTACTCATAGTTAGCAACTCAACAGTTTATTAAGCTAAAGTAACAAATTAATAAAACTTACTTTGAAATACGACATGTAACAAAGATCATTTGCAATTTGTTCAGGAATAGTTGTGAACGATCAATTCGCTAGCTTAATGTTTTGCGCTGCTAAGCTCACAATTGTTTGTATACCTTTGGGGAAGTATCGACTAATTGTTTCTCAGGAATGTTGAAATCGCTCCATAGCTTTAACTGATTCATTCTGTGAGAGAATGTATAATGTTATAGCCAACACCTCTCTCATGGTCGTTCTAAAAGAACCTTGGAGGCCGTGGTTACGACATAACTCGTGTAGAAGATCCATAAAAATGGGCGCAGTTATTCGAAAAATGTTGCTGAACCTTATCGGATGTCCAACAAGCATCTCACTCACCCATTTGTCCCCAACATATGAGGACGTCATGCGTGGTATCTGTCTAGTGCTGGAGCGGTAATATTCCAACAATAATATCGCTATAGCTACAACCCGTGTTATTCTTTTACGACATTTTTGCTGTGGATTCATCCTGAAATGAGAAATGCATTAGGATAAAATAATTTATGGCAAATTGGTGACAGGAAAATGAAATAGTAAAAACATCAAGGAGTACAAAACATCAAAAAATGAATTACATAAATTGTTCAAGAGAATAAATAAAACTGCTGTGATAACAATACATAAGTGAAAAATCTAGTGACAGCTTAATACAAAACAACTAATACAAAACAGACTCATTCTTCTACTAAAATACGTAAATATTCAATGAGCATCTCGGGCCGCAGCGCCATGAACATTTGCCTACGAGTAAGGTTCTCAAGTTTTTTAACACATTTTGTTTGAAAGCGCATATCGGCTGCTACTTTTGGAATAGTATCTAAAATGTCAACGCAGTCTCAGATGATGCTGCAGGGGGAGCTGGAGGAGGCAGAGCTGAAAAAGTAGCAATTAGTTGATCAAATGAGTTTTTCACAAAACTGTCATTCTCTTTCTTTCTCCTGCCAAGCCTAGGCTTTTTGGACATGGAACTGGACTCCTCCATCTCCTTTTGGTTAATACTAGACCCTTCTTCATCAGCTATAACCTGTTTAGGTGGCAAATCATCTGGTATTCTTACAAATCCCAATTCACTTGGGTTGAATGCATGTTTTTCAGTCGCGATAACCCCCTTAAACATAATGTCTAGTTTTTCCTCAAACTCCGGCTCAATTCCGCACTGCTTATATTTCTTCGCTGCCGACATTGCCTGTAACATTGTATTTAGAGGGATTAGTTTCTAAGCTAGACCAATTTGAGAAGTAAAAAATTAGGGGATTAGTTAGAAAATTACTTCTAATTTCTCAGCCCACCATTTAGCTAGAGTATCGATCGTTCTTTTAATGGAATCCCACCCCAACCCGGTGGATTCCATTTCAACTCCTTCCATATTTTCATTCCTTCTTTAATTGGTCTCTTTTGTTTTTGAATTTAAGTCTGTCGTAATCTCTACCAGTTAATTCTTTGAACCTCTTAGCAATATTTTGCCAACATTCTTTATTTTGCCAACTTTTTTTATTAAAATAGGTGGTTGGCCTATTCCCCAGTTCAATTTCTTTAATACATAGATCGCTAAAAATATTTGTTACTTCTTTCTCCCACATAGCGGACGGACCCCCTTCAGTCGCCTTAGACATGTTAAAACTATAGGGAACAAAGGAAAATAGGTACTTTCGAAATGTGTACAAAAATTAACCCAACTTCATCCAGATCAGTTCCACAACCTATAAAATAAATCTATTGCAATTTCAAGAAAGAACAAATTATAAATAAACACCGAAAGCCAACATCATTTTCACAATGTTGCAATTTACAAATAAAAAAAACAAGTACACGAGAGATTTATGTGGGTTGACCAATGTCCTACATCCACAGAAGGAAATCCACGAAAGTTTTATTAAGCAAATCTGTAAGATTACATAGCTATGAACCTTAATTGAAGTTTACTACAACATGCTCTCAACTAACCAAGCTCCATACATAACACTATAATTCTTCCATCTTTTCACAAAAAACAGGAACCGAAAATAGATTCATCTGGTACTCAAACTGCAGCAATTACAACTGCAGAATATCAAATACAACCCAGTAAAATGCAGCCAATCAAACTGCTGCCAATCAAACAACTCCCTGACCAAATCTAAATAATTCAAAAAAATCAAACAGCTGTAGCTAGAACTCCCTGACCAAATCTAAATTCAGCCATTCAAATGCAACTAAAAAATAGAATTAAAGCCTTTAATACACTTGTGTAACCAAAAGAAACAATAATAGAATTAAAGCCTTTAATACACTGACAATTAACACCGTCCAGCTGAAGAGAGATTTGAATAACATAAAATATCAAATGACATAAAAAAATGCTCTTAAAACTTCATGCATAATCCTCGTAAAGACCATTAGAAATATCAAATAACATCACTATCCTCAAGACTTCCTGTAGCATGGGCACATTTATTTATCATGTTGCTCAAACCAATCACCTTGATAATAGCACTATATTCATATCTAGAAAAAACAACCGACAGAGAAAACCTTGCTAGAGAAAACATCAGCATGAATCAACTCAAACATTGCTTTTGTAAAACAAACCCATAAAAACAAAACCAATTTAACATTGCTAGATTCTGGCGTACTCAAGTTCAGGAAAACCAGACAACAAAACTATTCCTGTTGTGTATATCAAACACTCCCTCAACTGCTTCAAAATGGCCCAAGCAGCAGCTGAAATTAAAGACTAATGACAAAATGTTAATGTTCCAGTACATATACCAAGGTTCCCGAGCATCCAAGACAATGACATTTTGTTAATGTCTGAAGTATGGTAAAGCAAATTGCTTTATAGCAATTATACCAACATTCCCGTGCAAAGTAATGAAAACCAACTAAAAAAATTCATAAATCTCGGCAAAACTTTTAGAAAAAGTTTTGCTTTGAACTCCACCTTCGAAAAAATCAAGCAAGGTATATTCAGAAAAACTGCAACTGCTAATCTTAAAAAAACTGCTAATAAGCATATGCTCCTAACATAACATCTCATCGAAATAACACTGAAACAGGTAAAGCTAACAATACAACATCCCCATTTCAACAATGCACGATATGTAAGTATCCATGTCCAGAAATGCATTTTAATTAACAGTAGGCTTGTAATCAAGGTTAAAAATACAACATCCCCATTTCAACGCCATAACTAGAAATTTCAGCAAAATCTGAAGCGTAATGAACAGTAAAGCGTAATGAAACAGAGCATATAAGCAAATGCACCTATACGTAAACGGCCAAAATCTGAAGCTTAGTTGATGAGAAAAAAATGAAACTCTTTAAAGAATCAACACATTGGAACCTCTCCTCACAAAAAGAAATAACAGGTGAAGCGAGAAACAAACTAGCATCCAACATTCCACCCATTCGAAAATCAGAGCATATAAGCACACACAGAAGGAAGAATATAACAAACCACCCACTCGAAAACTCAAATCTAGCATCCAACATTCGTCAAAACTGCATCCAAGCTCCGAAACAAACTAAACACTAACCTCATTTGAGGCGAGAAGAAGTAGGGTTTCTTAATACCTTCAAGATCGTGGAGGGCGAGGGCGAGGGAAAGCATAGGGTCGAATGTTATCTTAGGTTTCGACCTCCACGAGGATGAACGAGATCGGGGAGGGCTAGGGCGAGGGGGAGCATAGAGGGCACGGGAGGAATTCTTCACCCAAACGCGCGAAGCGGATATTGGACGCATACCCCTCTCCGCTTCTCATTCTATTAGCCCTAAACGTCGAAGCACGTCTGAGCGGCAGGTAAACATAGTGTCGAATGTCTTTTTCAAACACCAATGCGGCGTTTTCATACCGCCACCGTAACCAATAAGCTGCCCCAAACTGGCCCTGATTTTGATTATGTTTTTGCTGGATAAGATTTATTCGATTTGTTTGCATGAACGAAATTTATTTGCGAAGTTTGTTGTTAATATCATGTGTTGTTTTTTTAAATCACTTGACTTTTTTGTGTATTAAAATTTTGGTTTATTTTATGTAAACTATTTTGGCTTGTAATTTCTTACGAACGACATCATAATATTTGACCTATGAAAACGTTTTCTGACTGTTAAGCTGGTTCTAACGGTTAGGAGCATACGAAGTACAGTCAAATTCTTGATAAAAAATAATGTATGCGAAAATTTATTGTCCTAATACATTCTGATTAATACATATTCTTATCATATCATAATAGAGAATGCGTGATTGGATCCAACTGGTTGATGATTCAAATAAGTATGGTCGCACACAAAATAGTTGTAGATTTAATGTAACAAGTTGGCACGGAAGTTTCATACAGTAAAAATACACTTGCATAAACATTTTTCTTTTAAAAGAAAATAATATTAACAAGCATAATTGACGAAGTGGCTATTTTTTGTTTGTTTTTCGGAATGGTGAAATAACATGGTTATTTCAAATAACCACGGTTACATACAAAATTGTTGCAGATTTTATTTTGAAATTGGGCATGAATAACATACTTGCGTAATTTTTCCCAAAATAAACATTGAACTAACAAACAAACTGTGCAAATAGATTTGAGTCATGAAAATAAGTCGAATGAGTTTTATGGGATGAAGAGAAGGAACCAAAATCAATCAAGCAACCTATACTAAATGGGGATAAAAATTTTGAAATGATAAGAAAATGCTCTTCAATTTTGCTATTTCAGTTTGTAAACAAATTTCTTAAAGAAAGATTTCAGAAATTTTTTAATTATTTTTAGTTTTTACTGCCACACGGGCTGCTTGTGTGGCTTATTCCCTTTTTTTTATTACATTTCTGTTTAAACTAATAATTTTCTATGAGGTAATTCTTTGGCATCAAGATGTTTAGAGAAAAGCTTGTGTTTTAGATCTTATGATCTCACTTTTAGTTAGGGACAGGTAATCAGCGGGTCTACATTTTCATTTTGAGTCTGCTAATTTAGCTCAACTGCTCCTTGAGCATTTCTTTTCGTTACACTGCAATGGGCAGTTGTAATTTTTCTAATGGCACAACCATTGCTCAACTAAAAAAAGGAAGGAAAAGACTAAAAATGGAAAACTTCCTGTGAGCTCTGCTTCCATTACTCTCATGGGCTACCAAAAATAAAAGCAAAAAAATCACAGGATTTGCATATTTCAACTGTAATGTAAATTATGTCCATGCTAGTTTTTCTTCTTGTTATTATCTCCTTTATTAGTCACTTTATGGGAATTGGACTAGTTCTTGTTAAATCATGTCATCCCATATCATTTCCTCTTGTAAAGTCATGAATGTAACCGTTATTGGTTTTCCAAATGATCCTTACTCATGTGGATATCATGACAGATAATTTATAGGCAAAGTTTTTTATTGTGAGCTTTTTTTTCTATATGTAACTTGTAAATCACCTTGCAGGGGCTAGGCTCCTGTAGGTGGATTTTTTTTTTTTAAAAAATTTATAAAAAAAGAAGGCATCATATTTACATTATAATTATTTAAATATTGAAGACAGAATTGCTGGAACAGGCAGAACGTGTACTTATTCATATGTCGTACTTCACAGCATCTAGCCATCTATATTTTCTAATTTGTACTTGAAGAACATGTTACAATTTGTTGAGTTAATCAATTCATCTTCAAACATATTAATCTTATAAATAGCATGTTTGTCATGTTTAGGAAATAGTATCCATATATCCTTCGCTTTCACCACCAACATTGTCCCCTGGCGCATCCAATAGGGTCTGCAACGCACTTGCTCTTCTTCAGGTCAGCTGTTTGATTATTTGTTTCCATTGGCTATTTCTTTTTCTTCCCATATTACTATACCTTTTGAACCCTGATTTTATGCTTTGAATTCATTTTTTTGTTTCTAAAAGATACTGCTAGTCGAAACAAGCACACTTCTTGGTGATTTCTTCTTTGATTTTATTATTTTTTTGATTTGGTCAACTATACTATGCACATTTTGCTAACTCTATTGTTGCAAGAGCCTGACCACTCTTCCCGGATGCTATCCATCAGAGAGCTACATAATTTATATTTCATTCGTCTTTATTTCATGTTTCATTTCTAGTTAATATTATGTTTCATGTCTTGAAGTCACTCATCATTATTGTATCTGCTTTGGGCACTTTGATCTTTATACTTTAAATTTGAATATATTGTTGTATAAGGCCATTTCTCTTCTTCCAAACCAAGGTCAAGAACGTGCGTCTTGGAGCTTTATCTGTTTGCTGCTTCTACAGTCATTTTCATTTAGAGCAGAAAAACTGATACTGTGTTCTAATTTTCAATGTTGCTCCACTCATGTTATGTTTTATATCTTTGTGGATATTGTAGACTTTTATACCCACCATTGCTAGTGTTCAAAGCCCATGTGGGTGTTGCTAATGCTGCTACTCGTTAAATCAGCATTATTAGTCGATTTACCATTTTGTGTGGAGAGGTTAAGGTTAAGAGTTTGAAGTTAATGAGTATGGCTAAGGTTGGTTGTGGAGGCGTTATTTGATTGGCTGAAAGGTAGCCTAAGATTAGGAATTTTTTATGTGGGCTTGATGTAGAGAATAGTTTTTGTTTGGGTCGTCTATATGCATTTTGAAAGGTGGGAATAACTTCGTGATGTTGTTATTGAATGCTCTGAGGTGTGGAGTCTGGAGAGGGAGACGTTGTAGAGTTGGGGCCAATAGCTCCAATGGTTAGGAGGTCTTTTGCATTGAAGGTCGAAGTTTATGGAGAGGCTCTAGGACGTGAGAAAGGCTAATAGAGATGAAAACACCAAGAACTTGCTTATGGGAGCAAAGCGATACATGATAAATAAAAGGATAAACACAGTTCTCTCCATGGGATTGTGGTTTTGCTATAGCCACCAAGTCCCCAACTATGGTTGTTTATCAAACCTCAACCAAGGAAGAATACTGTAAGCAAACTTACAAGTCTTAATTCATTGATTTCAAATGTGATTACATCCACATATTCATAAGAAAATAAAGTCACATTTCAAAATTCATAGAGGGTGGCTTTTTCTCAAGGAGCCAGATTTACAGGCTACCCAGGGAAGGAGAGACTTTCAGAAAAAAATGAATATAAAGAGATCCAAGTTTCCTTGGGGCTCTCAGTTAAGACAGTCCTTTCAGTCAGGAAATGCTAGTGCTAAGAAGGTCGGGTCCAATAGCCTCAGCAACCAGACTGAAGCTAGGAAGTGTGACAGGTGTGGAAGATCTCACAAGAGTGATTGTTATTCTTGATCCAACATATGTTTTTGGTTCCACTAGTCAAGACATATGGTGAGAAATTGCCCTAGTTTGGGATAAAAGGCTCTAACAAATTCTATGGGCAGTGCTGCACCGCCTCAAAGCAATTTTGTCAGGTTAAGAGCAGTTGAGTCTATAGTCAGACCCAACATAATGTTCAACCTTTGGTTTATGCACTTTCATGGCAAGAAGCTAAAAACTCCCTTAAAGTTACCACATGTATGTTTTACATTTATGAAATTTTAATGAAATTCAGGTCTTGTCATTCATAAAATTCTGTAAGAACTTAAATGCACTAATAAGTCAACTTAAATGCATTAATAAGTCAACTTAAATGCATTAATAAGTCAACCCTAAATTTTCAATGCAACGACTTTAATGTAATAGGTATCATATATCTTTAGAATAGACCAATAAGAGTATTATTTGATTGAGGAGGATCAAATTCTTTTATAACTGAGGAATTGATTAAAGTGATGATATTGAATAATAACTTAATATCTAATTTAACACATAACAGTTGACCACTAAGGAAGTGAAGTGTTTCAAAGATATTCCAGTGGTAAGTGAATATCCAAAAGTTTTTTGATGATTTACCAGGGTCACCTCCCGTGAGAAAGATTGATTTCATTATTAAACTATCATTAAGTTCTAAGCCAATTCCTAAAGCAACATTCATAATAACAATAAAGGTGTTGCAGGAGTAAAACTTAATCACTCGAATTGCTAGATAAGAGGTTTATCGGGCTTAACACCTCACCTTGGAGAGCTCCGATGTTATTTGTGAAGAAGTATATGAGTTTCAAAATGTGCATTGACTACAAAGAGTTGAATAAGCTCATAGTTAAAAACAAATATCTACTGCCAAGGTTTGATGACTTGTTTGATCAATTAGAAGGGGATTCTGTATTTGTAAAGATTGATCTATGATCAGACTATCACTAATTGAGGATTAACTAGGATTATATAGCGAAGAAAGCTTTGAGGACCAGATATAGACATTATGAATTTGTGATGTCTTTTGGACTGACTAATGTTATGGTAGTTTTTATGGATATGATGAATAGATTTTTTAGGCAGTTTATGGATACAAATGTGATTGTTTCATAGATAATATCCTGGTGTATTTGAGAGATGAAGCTAGCCATATAGAGCATCTACATGTTGTTCTGTAGGTTTTGAAGTAGACCTAATTGTATGCCAATTTTCAAGTGTGAACTTTAGCTTACGAGTGTAGTTTTTCTTGTGCATATTATTAGTGGAGATAACATATCTGGAGATTAGACTAAGATCAAGACGATTGTAGATTGGCTAAGCTTATTGCTATTACTAAGGTCTGGACTTTTTTAGGTCTGGTTTTTGTTATAGGAGATTTGTTGAAGGATTTTCATAGATTTTTATGCTATTATCCAGATTGATTCGGAAGGCTGTGAAGTTTGAATGGTCAGATCATTGTGAGGGAGCTTTACAAAAGCTTAAGACTTGTTTATGTATGCTCTAGTATTGACTATTTCTTCAGGTTCAGATGAGTTTCAAATTTTCAGTGATGTCTCATTAAAAAAATTGGGGTGTGTGCGTTTGCAACATGGAATGGTCATTTCCTATATTTCAAGACAATTGAAGAATCATGAAAGAAACTATCCAGCCTATAACTTGTTAGTTGCAGTTGGATTTACACTTAAGATTTTGAGATACTATTTATATGGAGTTATATGTGAGGTATTTATTGATCATCAAAGTTTGAACTATATCTATACTTACAAAGAACTAAATTTGAGTTAGAGAAGGTGACTGTAATTCATTACAGACTATGACTTGGTTATGCAGTATCACTCGTAGAAGACAAATGTTGTGGTAGATGCGCTAAGTAAGAAGACTTATGGTAATTTGAATTGTTTATTTACTCACCAGGAGTTGTTACTTAAGGATTTGGAGAGGCGAAAGCTATCTGTGATTAGTTATGGTGATGACAGTATGGTTCAATTGAATCAGTTGTATGTGTAGTCCACTTCAAAGGGTAAAATCGAAGATTCGTTGACTATGGATATTATTGTTCAGAAGATTTTAGATTAGGTCATGGTTGGAAATTTGTAGAAGTATATGTTAGATATGAATGGACTGCTGCGTTATAAAGACACTATTTATATTACAGATGTTAGATAAATTGAGAAGGAAATTTTAGATGCGCGCATATCTGGCTATACTATTCACATAGGGAGTAGTAAAACATACCTGAAGCTTGAAGAAATATTTTGGGTGGTCAGGATTAAAGATGAATGTGGCAGAATTTGTAGTTATGTGCCCTATTTTTCTGCTAGTGAAGACAGAACATCAATGTCCAGGAGGTTAGTTACAAATTTTACCTATTCTAGATTGAAAATTGGGGGGGGGGGGGGGGTTGGGATTGCTATTGACTTTGTAATTGGATTGCCTAGGTCACAATAGGGTTGTGTTGCTTTATGGAATTGTTGATAGATTAACTATCCGTCTATTTCATGCCCATTAGACAGACATATTCTTTTGAGAAGTTAGCCAAATTATATGTGGATCAAATTGTAAGGTTCAATTGAGTGCCAATGTCTATTATTTCAAACAAAGATGAAAAATTCACTTCTAGATTGTGGAAGAAGATTTAGGAAGCTTTGGTCACAGATTGACTTTTAGTACAACTTTTTACCCTAAGATGGATGACCAGTTAGAAAAGATTTTTTAGACTTAAGATGCTCTACTAAATTTATGTGCTCTTCACCGTGAAGGCTGAGAATCACATATACTCTTGATAGAATTTGCTTGCAATAATAGTTATCATGATGACTCTATATGAAGCATTGTATGGAAAAAGTGCATAAAACTTTTATGTTGGGCTAAAGTTGGTGAAAGAAAGGTTATTGGAGCTGACTTGGTTGATGATATTACTTAAGAGATTAGATTGATCAGAGATAGAAAGACAGCACAGGATAGATGAAAGAAATATTAGGATGCGAAGGACAAAACTATTAAATTTGAACTTGAAGAGTTTGTTTTTATTAAAATTAGTCTTTTGAAGGGTGAGCAAAGATTTAGAATGACAGGAAAACTAAGCCCCAGACATACAGAACCGTATGAAATTGCGGAGAGGATTGGTCATGTGGCTTATAAATTGACTTTATCAGCTCATATGCAAGAGTTATATAATGTTATTCATGTATCTTCACTTAGGAAGTTTAGTGTTAATGAACTTAATGGGACTGTTCTAGATTTAGTGGAGATATAGCCTGATTTGACCTACATGGAAGAACTTGAGAGGATACTGGACTTTGAATTTAAAAAGCTACATAGTAGAGAAATTCCATTTGTGAAGATTTTATGGAAGCACGGATTAAAGGAGAATGCTACTCGGGAGAAAGTTACAGATATGCAGGAAAGATTTCACCAGCTCTTCTCTTAAGCTATGTTTGCTTTAGTAAAACTTTTTAAGTTTTGAGGGCAAATTTTTAATATGGGAGATTGTAATAATTGAAATAATAATAATAATAATAATAATAATAATAATAATAATAATAATAATAATAATAATAATAATAATAATAATAATAATAATAATAATAATAATAATAATAATAATAATAATAAAATAGATAAATGAAAGGGAAGTTTGAATTGACATCTCTATAGTTATACACTTAAGATACGAAAGCCTCTTTCGACCAGTAGGAATCCAAAGGAGTAGAAAGAGCAAGAGTGGGAGACTGAAAGGAAAGATTAAACGATAGTGAAGGAGAAGAGTAAAGAAGAAGAAGAAGAAGAAGAAGACTAAGATGAAAAAGAAGAAGAAGAAGAAGAAATGAGGATACTTGAATTTTGTGTCATGTCCTAGTGTATTCATTGTGGGTGAAAGAAGCAGAGTGGTGCCCAATCTGTTCTTTTGCGCTTGCTGGAGGTCAGATCGGGTTCCTCGTGAAGGAAGAGAGGCGCGGGTTTAGGTGATGTTGCGTCACTCTTTGTTGAAGCCAGGGAAGAGTCGAAGCATCATTGCTTCGCGTGCGATAACGCTGTCGAGTTGAGGAAAGCTATACTGAGCCGCACTTCTCATTCGAAGGAGACTACCAAACCCTACTGAACGAAATCAAAGAAGAACAAGAAGAAGAGGAAGGAGAGGTTTTCTTCAGAAAGAGGAGCCATCGAGCACCTCTTGCAAGTGGCGCAGAGGAGGAGGTAAGGGAGAGTTGTGTCCGGTAAGAGGAAAGTCGTACCGAACTATGACTATAATATTAGGATATGTTTTATTATATAAAAAATTTTTATTTATTTAATTAGATTTAATTAAAATTGATTTGATTTGGAACGATCAAATTAAAGAAAAACAACCTATGTACGAAGAAGTTTCGTGTCGGAAGAGGTTGAACGAAACGTTGGATGAAGGTAAATGTTAGGGTTTAAGTTTTTAAATTATATAAATTTAATTAATTAAATATGTCATATTATTAGCATTAAATTTTTATGAATTAAAATTAGGTATCATAAGTGGAAGGTTTTAGTGAGAAGAAATATCGATTCAAGTAAATTTTGTAGAGGTACTTGTTTGTGTGTTTTATTCATATAAGATGTTTTGTTTAATTAATTAAAATGCTATTAGGTAGAAATTAATAAATGAATTAAATTAAAACTTGATTAAACGAATTAGGTTTTGGATTGTGGTTTGGGCAAAATAGATAGAATCAAAGAGAAAGTAGTTAGGGCAAAGGTGTGCTATCGAATCTGTTGTCAATGGCGAAAAACCTTTCCTCCATATTATATTCAACTTGCCTACTTTTTCCTCAATTTTTTCTCCAAATCATCTAATTTCTTGGCCATCATTATTTTCTCACTAAGGCGGGCTCGATCCTAGATTTGATTGCTGACCTCTAGGATCACGATTAGCCCACTCTTGATCTCGTCGCCGCCTTCCCCACTATGCCCTGATCCTCTCTATTTCCCAGATAACTCCAACTGCGATCTTATCGTAAGGATTCGAGCATGGCACTATACGATGTCGTGGTCGCTTTCCCAGCAAGCTTTAATCGTGCTGTATCCGCTTCTCAATCGCTGCCTTCCCAACAAGCTATGATCCCGTATTTATTGTGTCTCGCAGCTTACGGGTGTGAGGAGGAGAAAGGCACGAGTTTCAGATCTCTGTAAGTCGCGTCGTTGCCTTCCACGTGACTGGATGGAGGTTTTTGGTGTATTTCATCAGCCTGTTGTTGCCTTCATCTCATCTGTTCGCGAAGAAATCATCATATGGTAAGTTGCAAGTACGTTGTTGCCTTTCATTCGACTGCTCGCGAAGAAATCGAGTGTATACACCATGATGTTTTGGAGGCAGGAAGATGGGTGATTTGGGTCTCTGTACGTCACAAACCCATCCCACACTTAAATTGCAACTGTATTGCTGCCCGTATGTATGTCAGAATCCAACCGTTGCTGCCCTAGGTTGTTAGTCGAATTGTTTCGGTAGTGGACGTTGAAATTTTGTAGGGACAACGAAGACTTTGAACCCAATAGCTCTTATCGCGACTATATTGCGATTTCGGAAGAGATGTTGTTGTCCCCCTTATATTAGATTGGATGCTTGAAGCAAAAGGTGTTATTATTGAAGAGGACAACTTCAATGTCATTAAATTCTTGAAGAACACTATGGATATACATTCCTCATAATCCAAATTTTGCTTTCTTGCTTCGGTTCAAGCAGATTTTGTTCAAACATATCAGTAGAGAAAACAATTTGACAACTCATACTTGTGCTAAAATGACTATAGATGGAGATTTTACTTTACATCATGTAAATATGGCAATGCCCCTTTTTTTTGGTCTTACGAGAGGATAGAGCAACTTTTGTAGCCCATGGTTTTTGGTTTTAATGGAGAATAGCACAACTTTTGTAGCCCATGCGGCATAGTTTTTTATTTTTTATAAACTTTTTGTAACCTCTTGAAATATTAATGCAAAATGCAATATTCACGGAGGAGATCCTATCAGCTTCCATCAAGGTAGGATGTGTTCAAGATCTGTTTACCGGGATTCTGTGTGGGAGATCTCAGAAATCGATTGCTTTGATACCGATTTGATACAATCTAACGTCAAAACTAGCACGCTTTTCCCCAAAAATTAGGGCAAACTATTTTTTCTCCATAACCCAAGCAACTCAATAAGAATACAAAGGATATGCACCTGCAATTCAAAATGTAAGCGATCTTTCCTAATTCCTACTAATCGAGAGGTAAAAAATCTCTCCCAAACCCTAAACCTAAAACTCACAACTCAATCTCTTGTATAAATTGTATAAACCTATCCCTTCCCTAAACATAACGAGCCTATTTATACCCAATAATAATAAAATAAAAGACTTATTTGCCCTTGGGCATACAAAAGATAAAATTATTCTTAGGCTAAGCACCGACGTAACAGTTTGTTGTGTGACTGAGGTGTGATGATGATTAGTAGGTTTGGGATTATTAGTTTTTATTTAAGAGGGGAAAAATGAAATTGTTATCGTGAAGAAGATCCGATTTAAGGGTTAATATTTTACCTAAATAAATGTGATGTGTAATTCTAATACCATGTAAAAAGGGATATAGAATAAATTTAGGTCAACTAAAGAATATTTAATGAATTTTCCTTCTTCACATTATTGTCAACGCTTGTTATTTTCATTTTAACTATGCACTTGCAAGAAAGAGTAAATCCATTTATATTGTAGTACATATTTTCACATTATTGTTTGAATCATGGATTTGGAGTTTGGACATTAGGCATGTGCATAGTAAACCAGGAAACATGAGGTATATCCATAGCCAACATAGGAAATACAATTATTTTCTTGTTTCTACTAAAACTATGGACAAGATATTAAAATAAGCATTGGAAAGCATATTAAAAGGAAATCATGATAGGTTAGTCATTCTAATTATATGCCAAGAAGCTTGTAGCAATGGAAAATACTTCTGAATAACCAAATAAAAAGATTAATACATCAAAATTCTCATTCAAGCAAATATTCTATTTCCCGGTCAACCCTCTTACCAGCCAAGCATTTGGGCCATCATCAGGAATGAAATCGGTGATCTTGTAATGGCTATGGGATGACAACTTCAACATTGAGACAGCTCACAAGTAGAGATTCAAACCATCCTTTCCATTCAACATATTATTGAACCATGGATGAACGAGGGCAAAGACATAATTATAGAGGGAGACAGTATCGATAACATGAACTATTTCAGATACTTTATGCATAATAGAACGTGACAAGCCCATTGGTTTAAAATTTGCACTCTTTTACAGTTCAAGCAATTCATTTTGAAACATATTGCAAGATATGGAAATAGAGCAAATTTTGTAAATTCTTGGGGCATAATCTAAAAATGTAAAAGTGCAACATGCTATTTTTTCACTTATGCTAGAAGATATGTCACATTTTGTAAATGCTTGAGGCATACTTTTGTGCACATTTCGTTCCTTTTTGACATATTATTGAAAAAGTGAAGCTTTCAAGGCAGTTTAATACAGCAAGCAAATAGTTTTAAGGAGAAACCATTATGAAGTATTGATGTTAAAAAGAGTAAAGGTTTCAAACAGATGTGCATATGTAAATGTAATATTGAAGATTTATTTAGAATTGAAACACATCCAGATTGGGAAGAGATAAGTTGCCATTTTTATGGATGTCTTATTTATTCCAAGAATTTTCTATTTTCCTGATGAAAAAAATTTTATCTGATTAGCATATGTGAATTATGTGTTAGAGCTCTACTTACATGTTTTGTTTTATCAGTAATGTTTCTAGCAAAATTATACTAGTTGGATCCGAACATTATTTTACTCATGCTGTTGTAGTAACACTTCTGTTTGTTGCTTATTGGCTATTGTGGAGGTCTTTTGTAGTAACTGGCTAATTTTCTTTATATGAAGATAAGCGCACAATTATGAAAGTGTTATTTATCATGCATCTAATGTTTATTATATTCTGTTTTAATCTTTCATTGCAGTGTGTGGCTTCACATTCAGAAACAAGAGTTCTTTTTCTAAATGGTAATCTGTTTAAACATTCATGAAATTTTGCCATAGGATATGCTTCCAGTTCAGTGAATCTTTCACATTTCTTCTTAACTAGTTGACTTTTGCTTGTTGGCTATTACAACCGGAGATATTGAACGTCAATTTGAGTATTCTTTATCAATCCTTTACACGATTTTCTTAAAACATGCAAACATTTACATTGAATACAAAATCAGATAAATTCTTAATATGATAATCATGTGCCTCACTTCATATGTTCGGAGAATGGACCAGTGACTCACAATTAGGAACTTAATTTTTGAACAAGTTACCAGCATGAATTGATGCACTCTTTTTATTTCTTAAATTTCATTGTTTCTTTAATTATATGCAACATGCTTCCAATTTAATAGAAGAAGAAAGGCACTATGGTTATGTTGGAAGCATATCACAGTTTAAACTTCTAGCTAAGGAATATATTGTCAGATTTCAATGCCAAATCAAATGTGTCAAATACTAGTTGTCCTACGAACTCATTATTTTATTATTTTATAGACTCGGAGAGTAACCGTGAGGCTATGTACTGAAGTGAAGTTTATATTTGCTAAATTATTTTAAATGAAACATCTTGTTTTAGCAATAGTCTGGATATATTTACCTGTCAAACCTGAATAAACTTTGGGGTATCCAGTTTTTATCACTAACCAAGTTATGTCTAAATATCGGAGCTGACAAAAATTTCCATTCTTATTTCTTTTTTGTTTGTGGAAACAGTGGTGCTTTCTTAAGTTTTTTCCATAACAACAATTTTCATCTCTTTTTTATTCAGTCATCACATGATTTAGCTGTGGTATGCCAAACAATAACTTTTATTTATGAATAACTACTTTGTCAAGTTTTATATCACAGCGAACTTTGCGAGACAAATTCCTTCATTCCCATGTTCTAGTTCTAAAAATTTTTTATATTCGTATCAAGAAATATTTAAAATTTTCTGATTCGAACATTTGCTATGCATATAGCATGTCTTATTCATCATTAAGAATCTTTCTGATTAATAATCAACTTTTTTGAATTATATACCAGCAGTCATTTTTTGAAAGAAATAGTTTCATTATCAATGTGATCTGTTGGTAAATTATTGTTGCTGATACAAGGAAATATTTTGAATTTTATAGTACTATTGCTTATAATTAAATTTCATGTCGCAGCACATATTCCCTTGTATTTATACCCGTTCTTAAATACAACCAGTAAAACCAGGCCATTTGAGTATCTAAGGCTTACAAGCTTGGGAGTAATCGGGGCCCTTGTAAAGGTACTTATTATCATCCCTTCTACTGATTTATATAGTTGTGATGTGTTATTTTTTGTACATCATATCTTTAGTTTCCCTAAATTCTAAGTTTTCTTTTGTTACATTTATTAGTACCTGTTCTTTTCCAAAAATTTTCCAAATCTAATAAAGCATTACACAATTATTTGGGCTGGTAACTTTTTCTACAAACTTATAATATATGTAAAGGATCATTTTGTGGGTCATTATGCTTCTAATTGTCTTGCAAAGGTTATTACAATGAGTTTGGTGATGTTGTCACTTAATGTGCATGAAAATCTTTGGATGAGTGAACAGTTTTCAACAATATCTATAATATTCTTTATCTATATCAACCATACATGCAGTAATTTCAATTCTGAAGTCTTTTGACAATGTGCTTTACATTTTTTTTGGTTAAATTATCTATTTTGTAAATGTGGTTGGATGCCACCTTCGGTTCTAATTTATTCATAAGATTTGCATTTAGAATTGTTTGCATGCAGAAAGCATGTAAGAGGAAATACTGACTCTGGGTGCATCTATACTCCTACAATGAAAAGCTCAGTATGGATAAAAAGGACATGTAAAAAAAATCTTGTTTATTTATTTAAATTTGATTTAGCAAGGTTTCATAGATATGGGATGCTCCGTTATGTTAATTTCTCGGGTAACAGGTCTGTCCTAGGTAGATTCTCTCAGCATTTAGCTTTGCCTATTGAAACATTCAGCTTTGCCTATTGAAACAATCAAAATTGGCTGTAATTAAAATGACCATTATAAATATAAGTATGTCTGTGTACATGCATACTTATACATTTATATGCATACATACATATAGATACGTGCTCTGTCTCTCTCTCCCACACACGTGTACATACCTATGTATATGTGTGATTGTTGCAGACTACCTTCTCAACTATACAATTGTCTAATAAAACTCAACTCAAATAGAACCTAAAAGTTTATCATGATTGTCATAGCTTTGTATCACAACCCTAAAAGTTTATCATGATCGGCATAGCTTTGTATCACAACCCTGTTTGAGAACTTAGAATTAATTAAGGTAGACACGGATTGTCAGATGCTGAAACAAAATATTTCTAAACGGTAACATCAGCCAACAATAAGATTCATATAGAAACGAGTCACTAATCCACAATACATAAACTAACATTTATCAAAACACATACGACCATCCATTGATACAATAAAAACAAGTAGTACAAAGACAATGACAACATACAAATAGACATGCTCCTACTTATCACCAACAATGCCTCTCCTCCTATAAATAGACTCTCTCCTGTTAGACATAACAATCTAGTAGACTTTTTCCTAAAAGGATAGTTAATCAACAAGTTAAATTTAAAGAACTTAGTGAATAATTACTATTTTATTATGTATTCAACTTTTATGCAAATATCTAATTTGACTGCTCAAAGAAATAAGTTTTTTCATTTTTATAAAATTGAATTTAATTATTTTATCAATTATATTTTAATTTTCATTTAATATATTTTTTTTCACTTCCTTTTACTAATAATCTCAGGAGCACTATTAAAGTATTTTTTGTTTTGGACCATAAAGCATAATCATTTTGATTTTCTTTTTCATTTTGTACTATAGAGGTACTGCCATTTTCATTTCCTTTTTCTTTTAATTGCATTAGTACAATAGCATCCCTGCTCGTAACATAAGGGCATGACTCCTGATAGTTTAATCATTTATCTTTCATTTAACTTATATTTTATTTTTTTAAAAAATAATTTTAATTCATTCAATGCAGTGCAAAAGATAAGAATTGAAACCAAGAAACAATAATATTATTTTCACTTATCTTCATTCAATTATAAGAGTTCTTTTAATTTTTGTAACAAATGGAATATTTAAAAAAGTAAAATAAATTTATTTAACGCAAATAATATAATAATTACTCATCTTAACCTTTAGTAGACTTTTATAAATGATTATTCTTTCGCTTACTCCCTTTGAATATCACTTTCATTAAAAATGCTTGTTTAAATATTTTATTTAAAAATAATGGATTAAAACATAACTAGTAATTTAAATATTTTACCAGCAATCATCTTTTGAATCGTAAGCCCTGCCCAATTCTAATCATTGATTATGTTCATGAAAATTTAATATATACGCAACAATTTTTATTAAAATAGTGTTTATAAATATAAGCATTACCTCCTTTTATCACGTTCTTTATTGCATCAACGCCTATTTGGATCTAAATAATATTTATTCTACGTTTCTTGAGGCTAATTAACATAAACTCATGCCACCTTAAATGCAATCAATTTAATATATAAAATATTTCAATAACAAACCCTAAACTCACCTTACTAAAACTTATTTGACCAATCGAATTTATTCTTTTTTAGCTTTAAATTTGATTGCTGCACCTTTGATCACCCTTATTAATTCATAAGATTTAATTTAACCTAATAATATCTGATTAATTAAAGAAAGTCTTTTATATGAATAAGCACTATAAAACCCTACATAGGTTGGGCCTTTACTATTTGTGCGTAAGACCCTCCTCTTTGCTTTTCCTTTGTATAGCAACACACACATAGATCACCCTTCTTCCATACTATTAGGCTTTATTTGACAACTCTAGCATATGAGCCTCTCCTTTCTTTGTGCACAGAGCAGCTCAACCTTGGCCACTCCTTCCAAACATAGTGGTGCTGCACCATATGCAAAGTTGCCTTTCTTCCTCCTTGGTGTGGCTCATCTTCTCCTCTTCTTCATAGAAGGCCCTGGACGCTTTTCTTCTCGGCACTCTAGGGCTCGACTAGGGTTGCACATGCAAAATACAATTTCTCTCCTCTTCTTCTTTTCCTCCCTTCTCGCGCACTAAGGTTCACGATGTTGCTTTCCTTCATATAGGACACATGCACCCACAACTACTCCCTCGACTTCAATTCCTACACGCGCACGGCTAGGGTTCACCTATCCTCCTTCACTTAGGGTTTCTACTCTGGCTTCTCTTTCCTTTCCCTTCTTAACTCTCAGTCTTCATCTGATTCAGATGGGGACGTTCATCTCCCAAGTATAACTGTAGAGACGGTCACCTTGTCGTTTTGATTTTTCTTTTTTATAATTATTTTTTTCTTTTTGTATACAGCTATTACACTTTCCATCTTATTGCTTTTATGAGTTGTATAATTTTTTTAATTATTATTAAAGTGTTTTATGAATTTGGTTCTTTTGTAGGTTGATGATCCTGATGTTATCAGTTTTCTTTTGCAAACCGAGATAATTCCCTTGTGCTTGCGTACTATGGAGATGGGCAGTGAGCTCTCAAAAACAGTGTGTATTAATTCAAATATATGGGCTATCATCTGCCACTAATGCCAAACTCCCATGTTGACTCGTAGAGTTAAAATTTTGCTTAGTTGCATTTGTTTATTTTTGAAAGAAACTTTGTTATTATCTAACCAATTTTTAAAACCATGACGGTGCATATTGCCAAAACGAATCTTTATAACTTTCACGGCAGTCTTGTTCTTTCTGCCATCCCTTAGACCTGTTCACATTTGTCTTTTGATTTCTTGAAACCTTATACCTTCTATTGGTTATTGAATCACACAACTACACTGTGCTATTGGCCTTTTGCTTGTTTTTAATTTCTTGTTTGTATGTTGTAATATTTCAGTTTCATTGAATTTCATTGAAATAATCATATAGCTTGAAATTTCCTGACAACTTATGCGCTCATGTGGATGTCAGTTTCTATGTAACTATGCAAATCACTCTTATAAATTAAGCAAAAAATAGTAATCCTATCACCATAGTATAATCTTTTCAGGTTCGGCTTTCCATTTTTTGATAGACATGTAACAGCTTGTTTAAATTCCTTAAAATCTATTGAAAAAACGATTCCCTTCAGTGTATGTATTTCATGAAGCATTAATGAATTTTAACAAGTGCTATTCTCGCCGTTGGATGCAAAAAAATTAAGTAATGAAAAAAATTGTGAATAAAACTTCCATATTATTGAATTTACTAAAATTGGTATCCATGTGATGATTCTAGATATATTCATTATGCAAGAAATTGGATGTTGATTAATTTCAAGCTTCGGTGCATGCCACTAGCATGATGGTGAGAGTGTTATGGCATATAAAATTTATGGGTTCAAGTTTGTGTGACGATTCTAGATATATAATGGCATATAAAATTGGATGCTGATTAATTTTTACTTAAATTGGTATCCATGTGACTATTCTAAATATATTCATTAGAAATTGGATCCTGATTTGCAGTCTTGTGAAGGGGGTCTGCATGAAAGATTGAGAGTTGTGTCACGGCCTGACCCGAAGCTTGAAATTAACTATGATGGGCACAAACGATCGGACGGTACGAATAAAATTTTTTATATTTGTCTACAGTTTAATAGATGAAAGAGTCACTAAACAAAGTAAATTAAAACAATAACTTAAAATTACCTCATTACTAGTTTTATACATCTTCTATAAACGTTTTTTCTTCTTTTGTCCATCTTTTAATTATTTAAAAATTTACCTAAAAAGTTAGCTTTAAAAAAAATAACAGTGAGCTAAACAAGTCAGTGAATACTCATACTCCTAAGCTACAACAATTCAAAGAAAATGAAAGTAAAATGCATGCGAGTTAAAATTTTAATAAATCTATATTAACAATGTTAATGCTATCAATGAATCTCACTATATCAATGTCATATGAATATCATTCTATATCTGTACAAATGTCACAGGAGCACCGTCTAAAAAAAATGTGTTAATTAAGACACATTAATATCAATACCCTTTCCATATATGTACACGGATAACTTTGTGTTCCCTCATTAGTACCATCAAGGGGTGACTCCATCATAGTTAGTCATGCACATACATACAGTCAACGTAAGTATATCATTCATGTGCATGTCAAATTCAATTCAATATACTATATATGACATACATCAATGTATGATATCAGTAGTTACATACATTCTTAGCAATGTGACCAATAAAATAAATATTTAAATTAAATTAACGATTTGCTTGCTTTTAACGTGTATTACTTCTATCAATTGTCACCTATAAAATATAAAATATCCAATTATCACTTTTACTTAATTATGTTTTAATTTAATTTTGAATTTCTGTTGTATTACACCAAGTTAATTAGCATTCCAATAAATTTAAGTTTCATTATTGTAATAAAAATTTATATTAAATATTATTAATTTTTCAAAATATGGTTAAAATTAAGATCTTAAAATTTCTTTAGTGCTAGAATCAAATACACTTAACTTTAATATTTAAATAATAAAATTATGTATAATATTAGATTATATATATTATATATATTTTTATATGTCTTAACAAAGCTTATCTTATCCTCTATTCCCGTATGCGATCCCTTTCCTTCTCTTCTACGGCGTTCGGCCTACGGCTCGCTTGGCTCAAGTGCTTCTGCTCTTCCTCCTGCACAAGCTTCTCTTCTTGGCACGTCTTCCTTTACAGGGCAGTGAACTCCTTCCTCCCTTCTGAAGTCAGCTCGGTCTTCTTCCTTCGCACAAGTCGTTCGCCATGTTCTCTGTATTCGCACAAAATAGGAACTGTGACTTCAGCTTTGGTCGCTGCGTCACTGCTTCGGGTAAGAACATACTTCTCCCTTCTCTGCTCTTTAATCACATTTCCATCTCACACGTAATTTATAGGGTGAATTCCCTTGCTCAACTTCCGACCCCCTTCATTTTCTCTCCCCTCTATTTGGTTTCCCGACTGCTCGCTTCCTCCTCCTTTAACTTTCTGTTTCCCAGCTCCTCATTACTTCTTCTCTCTAGTTTTTCTTATTTCCTCTCCTCCGGTTAAAAAGAAATAAAAATGAAAGAAGCTGAACGATACATCTTGATAATCCTCTTTTTGATTCAAATTTCCTTCAAGCCTGTTATTTGCGTTGAGAATTGGTTCTTGTATAACTAGCTGAATTTAATTCTGGTTAGCATAATTAGTTGTGATAGATTCTTTATTTTCATGATTTGTTGTTGTTCAATCACCTATTTTATATTGATTTTATGTTTTTTCATCTTAACCCTATTTTAGGTGGCCACCTTTATTGTCCAAAAAATTCTTCTGGATGATGTTGGCCTGAGATATATCTGCACCACAGCTGAGAGATTTTTTGCTGTTGGAACTGTTTTAGCGAACATGGTTGTATCACTTGTTGAACAGCCATCTACTAGGTTGCTGAAGCATATAATTCGTTGTTACCTAAGGCTTTCTGACAATCAAAGGTTTTCATTTGCCAATATCATTGAATAACATTTTCATGATTTACTATTCAGGATTTGGCTTGAATTTATGTTCTTTTGCTTAAAATATAAGCAGGGCATGTGAGGCTTTGCAGAATTGCCTCCCAGAAATGCTCAAGGATGGAACTTTCAACAATTGTCTTCGAGTGAGCATTACTTAAATATCAACTCATTGAAATCCTTATGTTTTTAAAGATTTTGTTTGAAGTCGTACCTTGCCAAAAACTAAATGCTAACTAATTTCCAACTTCCCTTAGAAAACATATATTTGTAGGCCAGTAAAAGCATAGTACTGGCACCTGCTAAGCCCCTAACAGAATAAAGGAGGAATGCTTTTCCTTTTTTGGGCTCTATTTGCCACATAATTCAATACAATGAATCTTGAATTACAATTTACATAATATGCCTCTATGTTTATGTATTTTAACCGTTTGAAAGTTACATTCATTAATGTCAAGCTACACTTCCTGCTGCTTGTCAAGATGACAATAAATTGCAGTTTTGTAATGCAAATTCTATTTTTTTTGCAACTGCATCACATTATCTATTTCTAATGGTATCACAGTATAGGCACATTTTTTTGAAGGGAATGAAATTGTAGCAGGAAATTAGCGGTGGTGGAAGTATCTGATCTAAATAGCTTTCAGTTTTTTTTTTATAATAAATATCCATCAGACGCTCAATCCGTCATGAGTAAAAAATTATTTTATATAAAATCTTCCGGTTCTTGATCAAATGATAATGATTTTGGGTGTGCTACTTTAAGTTAGTTATAGAATACTTTGAATCTCTGTTATTCAAATGCAAAATCTGAACAAACACTTCTTTTTTTCCCGTTGGATGTGCTACTTTAAGTTAGTTATAGAATACTTTGAATGGTTCTTGATCTTTCTTTGTTAATTAAGTTGAGCCAATGATCTTGTTAGAAAATTTCTTACTTGAATTTCCATGATAATGATTTTGGGGTTGTGGATATGGACCAGAAATTTATTAGATGTACTTTCTCTTTAAGCACTCATTAGTTCAATGATAAGTTTGATGTTCATCAAGGAGTTATGTTGTGTTGCTGGCCTGAAGCAACTAGATTCCGATATCAATAGTAACTCATGAGCAAGCTACAATTCACAAGCACTCCTGTACATAATCTGATGGAAATTTTAATTCCTTTTTATGTTTTTAGACACTTGCGATCTTCCGGTAGAAAAGTGATGGTCGCTAATGTGCCTTGCAGCAGTAGGAGCATGACAAATTGTTCTTGTTGGTGACGCGAGAGCATCCCTTGCTCCTGATGCGGGAGTCCTGCGAACGAAGCTGTGACCCAGTTGTTTGCCTAGACCGGTTTGATCATTGTTTTTTTTCCATTCCAAGTCGATCGGTCCTCTTAGGCGTCTCTTAGTTATCCTAGTATTATATATTCATGTTTATAATGTTTTAAGTTTAGCTTTTGCGTGAGTTTGTTTATGACAGACGTTGGAGTCCGTTTTCTCCCTTCAAGAATTGTATTGAAGGGATTGGGTGATGCTCTGACTGTATTTATCCTGAGGAGTGGTGATTATTTTTACCTATCCACTTCCGCATCCTCCAACATCACTCCAGACAACCGTTTCCCTGCTGCAGCCACTCGAAACAGTTTTTTGTTGTTGTTTTATGCAGTTCCTACTTTGCAGTCACCTTCCCCGGCCCCTGGTTGTTGTTCCTGCTGCCCATATCTATTTCCATTGCTGCCTCGCTGCTGTTCCGGCCTTTAGGAATGCCCCTCTGCAACCTTGGCAGATGTTCTAGCTGTTTCAAGCCACTTCTCCACCACTTGGTCATTGTCCGAGTCCTTTTGGCTTGCTGCCATCGTTGTTCCAGTCCTCCATGCCCACTGCCTTTGCTGTTCCAGCCTCCCATCTTTGCTGCTGCTTCCGTTCCAGCTCTCTTCCTTAGCTATCATCATCCCGAACAACCGTGTGACATTGATATTTTCTGCTTGTTGTCTAGAACCCTGAATAATGTTGCCTTGCTATTTTCTGATTGCCAACTATCCTGTCCATCATCCTGCCACCTTCCAGACCTTCGTCGTTCACCTCCATCACCCCGAGATTCACCCTAGTCGTGTGTCGTGTTGTTATTTCCTTTTTCAGTGTGTTGCGTGTCGTGTTTGTTATTGTTTTCTCTATTAATTTTGTTAGTTGTAACCGTGTATTTGCTTTCAGTAATAATATTTATTTTTTCTATTGTGGTTCGGTTAAGTCTGGTATCATTTGGTATCAGAGTTAGTCTAAACCTAGTCCTATTGTAGAGATTCTAACATATGCTATACCCAACCTTATCTCCATCCCCCAAAATTATTTTTCCATCCCTACATCCCCAAAATGAATCATACCGCCTAGAAGATAATTGCCTGAACCTGACCAGGAGTTTGCCATGTAAGAGATATAGCGGCAACTCTGTCGAGTGCTACAACGACTTGATGAAATTAAGGAAAAGACCCTGGGAGTGGTCACCAATAAATGTGTTAGCGAGATCCAAAGAAGAGAGAGGAACACCTGAATCTCTCCCATTAGGATTATTCTAGTGAATAAACAAACATATCACAACACTTTGGGTTACAATATCAAAGGAGGCGAGAGATGAAATGCTTGTTAGAAGATTCAGAGATGAAGCACCTGTCAGAGGATATAGAGATGAAGTACCTGTTAGAGGATACTTAGGTGAAGAGTTTGTTAAAGATTTTAGAGATGAAGAGCCTCTATCCCGAAAAATTGAACAAATGTATTTGAGAAGCCAGAATTTTAAAGTAACAGTGCATTTGCCATATTTTGACAATCACTTGGATCCATATGAGTTCATCAATTGGCTTCAGTCCATAAAACTTTTTTTCGAGTATCAGGACATCTCACCGAGCAGAATATTGGAACTAGCCGCTAGCAAGTTGAAGAGTGCATTGTTTTGGTGGAAAATTTTGAAGCATTTGTCATGACCTGACCCGAGACTTGGAATTAACTAAGGTTGGTAAAGGGACTGTGGGAACTGTTTTTATATTCATTTCCTATAACTAACATTTAACAAATGAAAAAGTCACAAAACAAAATGAAAATAAAATAGTAAAATTAAATTTACCCCATTACAGGTTGTCTGCGCCTTCTATAAACATTCTCTTCTATTGCTCATATTTTAATAAATTAATTAAACCTGAAAAGTTAGTTCAAACAACTATGAGCAATCCAAAGCCAGTGAGTACTTACACTCCTAAAATACTATAATGCAAGGAAAAAAATAATATGCATGCCAATTAAGTTTTTAATAAATCAGTATAAAACATTTGATATTTTAAGAATATAATTTCATACGATATTTCATGTTTTAATGGGGTTTACTCTTTAATAACATATGTATATCATTCTATATTTATACAAATGTCACATGAGCTTTGTCTACCAATTAAGGTTCCTCAATATTAATATTTTTTTTCATTTATGTGCACGAGTATCTTAGCGCTATCCCGTTAGTACCATATATATATATATATCTCTATTATACGAGTCTTCAGCCACCCCTAATGTGCCTAACAATTCGAGTATCACATCTTTAAGGCCAACTGTATAAGAGGGGATTTAAGCCCAACTGTGCCATAGGGGATTCGAACTCCCGACCTGAGGGGTCTTATACCGTGGATGCCAACCAACAGATCGGGGTATGCGACACACACACAAACATATATATAACTAATTAATATCATTCATATGCTTATGTTATGACAAAATATAATATATGTATCTTTAAATAATATGTTATAATTTTTTAAAAAATAAGACCTAATATTCAAATATGACCAATAGAAAGAAGAGTATATAATTCACGGTAAGGTCATACATGAATTTTATAAATATCACATATAATGCAATTGATTGAGAAGAAATAAAATGCTATTATAAAAGAGTAAAGAGAACTCACCTCAAAATCGTATGTCTTGTCTTAAATCTTCATACATGCTTAATTTGTCTTCAATATTTAGCTGCTTATAATATTATAACAAATAAATTTTTAATTAATCAACTAAGTAATTATGTTATGTTAGTTGTTGATTAGAAACTTCTATTTTAAGTGTTCATGTTATTTGAATTTGAATATCAAAACTACAACTTACTCGACGTCTATGATTTGTATTTTTATTCAATATTCAATTAATGTCCCCTCTAATTTAAATGAATGTAAAATTTTTTTTCATATTTCGATTAAATATTTTGTACTATTATTATTATTTTTATAAACTATGTTATTACATATATATATATATTTCCATTGCTTATATTATTTTAATTAAGATTTCAATACTTAAATTTGAAATTTAATCATTGCAATTAATCTTAAATATTATTAATTCATATAAAATTCTTTTGAAAATAAAACCTTACCCTTTCTTGTTTGCGCCACCCCCTTGTCAATCTTAATTTGAGACTTCTTTAATTTGAATTCTGATTTAATTAAATTTTATAATTAATAATTAATAATTAATAATATAATAAAATTTTAAGCAAATTTTATAAAACACTTGCCTTCTGCGTTTTTGCCTCCTCTATCTCGCACGCGATGTTGTATGCAAATCCTCCCCCCTCCTATGCACACAAGGATTTAGCAGATACGAGAGCTCCTCCGCCTTGCAGGCAAGATCCGACTGGTCTCTTTGCTACGTTCGAGCATCCCACACCATTGCCCTCGTCGACTCGATGCCATCACTTAAGCTTCGTTGCCCTTCCTTGCACATAACTAAACGCTTAGTGTCGACTTCAATAACTTCTCCTTCTTCCTCTTCTCTTTTTCGATGGTCAGCTAGGTTAGGGTCAAGCACGTGTACGCATAGAGCTTCTCTTCCTTCTGCTTCCCCTTCCTCTTCCTCTACATGTGTGCACAACGCTGCTATTTTAACTTGCTCGACGAGACCTCCTCCGATACCAACTGCAATGTCCTCCTCTCCTTTGCACTAGAGCCTCTCGATTCTACAGGTAAGCAGATTTTAATGATTTATAGAGCGAAAATATCCTTTTATTTTTCCGTCTCCCTGCTTTCTCTCCCCCTCTTCAGCTCCCCTGGGTATATGAAACGAGGCATCATAGCACCTATGCTAGCATGAGGGAAAAATAAAATCACTACTTTGTCTCTT